CCCAGTCCACGAGCAGCTCCAGCGAGAAGAGCCGCTCGGACATGGGGGCCGCCATTGCTGTTGCCTCTGGAGACGCCGCCGCGGTCTCGGCGACCGGAGGGGTTCTCGCGAGAGCGGTGAGAAGCCCGCGTCTGCGCCTGCGCCGCTCTCTCGGGAGCCCGGAGGGGCGGCCCTGCAGGTGGGGCTGTGGTTGCTCCGGGCTTTGCGCCGCTGGGTGTCTATTGCCTTCGAGCCTTGTATTGACTCCGCGGCCTGTGTTAACAGCAAGGCGCCCAGTGGCTGGCAATATAAATATAAATATATATTTGTATTTATATATGTAAATATATATAAATAATTTAATGTATATAAAAAATTATTTATATAAATAAATAGCTTATTTATTTATATAAATATATCTATATATAAATAAGTTTTTTATATATAGATATATTTATATATAAAAATAGATAAATGTATTTATTTTTAGGTTTTGGAGATGTTAGCATTGCAGATCCCTGCAGCGCGGGGTCAGGGGGAGTCTGTCTGCAGAGTATTTCGCGCAGGCGCAGAGTGTGGCTGCGTTTCCCCCTGAGCAGTCGCCGCGTGGGCGAGGGATGTTAGTGATTCCATTCAACAGAACAAGTACAGGGTGTCCCCCAAAAGTATATACACACTTTTTTCTCATAGCGCAATCGATGTCTCTTTCTTTTCAGATTTAACCCACTGGAATGAATAATTATTAATTATTATTGGAATTAATAATTATTCAAAATGTGTATACATTTGGGGGGATACCCTGCATGTATAGGTAAACAGCCGGGCAGGGGGCAGATCTCACAGCACTACCCCTGATTTTCAAAGAGACAGACTCTTGACTTCAATGAGCAAGTCAACGAGGGTGAAACCAAGGCTGATACCTGGAGAGTCCTGAATGCCGTAATAAGGAATCTGGATTTTTTATAAGTTGTTTTGAACGAATAAGTGTGATCATATCTTCGTCTGGAAACACAGCAGCGCAAATACAAAGGATGGATTCTAATAAGAATGAATTCAGAGTATCTATTGGGAGGCTGCTGTGGTGTTTTAAGAGATCACTGTGGCCCGAGGTGGTCAGGGTCGGTGGAGACGGAAAAGTGACAGATAGAAGAGGCATTTGTGATAGCAGACTTTGGAATTTGGTGACTGGGGAGAGTTATGGGTGAAAACTTTGCTACTTGAAAGAATTGAGACATCAATTTTATTTTTAAGACAGTTAAGAGAATGAAAAGACTAGCCACATACTTGGAAAAAATACTTTCAAAAGACATCTGATAAGAACTGCTATTCAAAATATACAAAGAACTTTTGAAATTCAAATAAACTGATAGAATAACAACACCTGAGTGCACCCTAATGTGCACCGTGGGCTTTGGTGAGGATACTGTGTCATCAGCTAGAGATGTAGATCGTGGAGGGGGCTGTGCACCAAAGGGTCAGGGGGTATATGGGAAATCTCGATACTTTTCCCTCAATTTTGCTGGGAACCTAAACTGCTCTAAAAAAAAAAAGAGTCTATTTTAAAAAGAATATAACAAAAGGATAGAAGATTTAATAAAAATAAAGAGAAAAAGGGAAATGGGAAAAATACAGGAAATACAGTCTGTAATCTTAAAAAACAGAAATGTAAGACGGCCAAGTTAAAGCCCTTTCCCCTTTACTGTAGCTACAAGCCCCTTGCAAACACTTGCCTGGCATGGCAAGTCTGGAACCTTCGCTCTGAGAATTGCTTAGAGACAAACTGGCCCTTAGGTTCTCCCCCATTGTCTTCCGAAGGCTTGTATTTCAGGATTCTAGATACATATGGAATTCCCAAACGGAGACGATTTCAGTTAGGAGAAGCAGGTTCTCGGATTCACCCATTCAGGACCTAAGATAAAAGCCTAGACAGAAAGATGCCCTGCCCAAGTCCCCGATCAGAGGCTTCTGAACTCTAAGCCAGATAGCTCCCTTTCTCCTAACTGGGTTACAAATGGACTTCACACAGTTTAAACACTGGAAACAACCAGACCTTTAATAATACTCACCTTGGCCTCTGCTATTGTTGGTAAAGACGACAGAACCTCACCCCTCAGAATGCATGCAGTGTTTAAACATGGAGCTCTTTTTTTTGTTCCTAGTCTTTCATGCCCTTGTGTTTCTAATTTCTGGAGAGAGGACTCATAGCTTTTGCATTATGATGTCATGACATGAGGGACAGGATTATTATCAGAACCACGATTGCCACGTCCCATGTCATAGCCATGAAATAGCTCTTCTAAATAAGTGCAAATGATCTAAAGAAATTCTGTAAATTGGTACCAAGGCTCTGCATTTCATTTTCAGTTTATATTTTAAACTTGCCAGGGCTTGATATTGGAAATTCCTTCACCTCTGGGAAGTTTCCTTCCAGAACATCGCATAGATTCTCAAACTGCAGTGTGCATGTTAAAATGCAGATTCTTGGGCTCTACTTCCAGAGATTGAGATTCACTGAGTCTGAAGCAGGGCCCAGAGGTGCACAATTTAAGTAGCATCCCATATGACTCTGATGCAGGAAATCCCTTGACTACTCTTTGAGACCCACCCCCCAGGTTCTGCTGCATCGCAGACAGGTGTGTTAGTGTTTGTGGCGTTGGTTACGAGTAGAATCCTATTATCATCAAGCCCATAGAATAGCAGAAAGACTTATGCATTTATGTCATCGTAGTTCCCTCTCACACTTCCCATATGAAATGGAGGAAGTGAAATGGTGGCCTTTAGCAATGAAGCGGCACTGTCAGTTCGCTCCCAGGCCAAGAGATGTCAGTGTATCCGCAACAACAGCTCAGGTACTTAGAAGACTGTTCAGAAAGCCCCTGGGATAGATTTAAAAGAAACCCTGTGAATAGACTCAACCTCGTCTGTCAAGTCACCAGCACCCCTGCTCTGGTCCAGGGAAGACTGGCTGTCGGTTTCGTGGGCAGGGCATGCGCCTGCCTTCAGGGCTCGGGGAGGACTGCAAATGTAATTTAACTCAAGAATTCTTCCCTCCCATGCAAATAAACACTGTTGGGCCTTTGGCCTAGACCTTCTCATCAGGACTGGTATAAATAGCTTCTCTATTTAATGGAATTGGGTTTAAAACTGGGTTTATTTTAAATGACTACCTATATAACTCAGACTCCTCCAAGAGAGCCCACTGTTGTTTTCATGAGTAAGATACCTATGTTTTGAAATCTGCAAAATAAGCCAAAAGTCTTGATAACCTCATCAGCCCAGCCCTTCAGAAGGCTCTGAGTGGAAACTAGAGCTGGGTGCACTCGAATAGCTCTGTA